AACCTTCCCCCCCCCCCCCCCCCAACGGTTGCCATAGAGAAGAAAACAAACACCACAAACAAAGAAGATGGTTTAAGGGAGGGGGTAAACCATGGGCAAGATGGAAACGCAAGTCTTTTGGCCAAAGGAGGAGGGAAAGCTGCAGAAGAGACAGAATCAGAGAATGATTTGGGGTTGGAAGGAACCTCTGGAGATCACCCAGTCCCACCCCAGGCCAGAGAAGGTCCACCCAGAGCAGGTCCCACAGGATCAAATCCAGGTGGGGTTTGGGATGTCTCCAGAGAAGGAGACCCCACCACCTCTCTGGGCAGCCTCTGCCAGGGCTCTGCCACCCTCAAAGTCAAGAAGTTCCTCCTCATGTTGAGATGGAACTTCTTCTATTCAAGTTTGTGCCCATTCCCTCTTGTCCTGTCCCTGGGCACCACTGGAAAAAGCCTGGCCCCATCCTCCTGACCCCCACCCTGGAAGGATTTCGAGGTGTTGATCAGATTCCCCTCAACTTTCTCTTCTCCAGACTCAAAAGCTCCAAGTCCCTCAGCTTTTCCTCATCGAGACATTGCCACCAACAACTCTGCTCTGCTCACCCCGTGGGGATGTGGAAATGAGCTCGTTTTCTCCAGGAATAAGCATCTCAGACAGGCAGAGACCAAGCAAAATTAGGTTTTTGGGCAGCAAACGGGTGTCGGGAAGGCTCACCTGTAATGTCCTTAAGTTCTGAGGCTCAACCCCCTGAGCTCCAGGCCTGGAGGGAAGCTTGGACAGGCCCTGCTGTCCCACGTGAGCAGGAGATGGCTGGACAATAGACGCCGCATTCTGGACAACCGGAGTCTGGATGGAGAGAAAATGAGAATTGGGATGAGCTCGTGGTGCTTGGAAAGGAAATCCCTCGAGAGACCCAACACGGGTGAAGCCTCATAGATCACAGAATCATGGAATGGTTTGGGTGGGAAGGGACCTTAAAGACTGAATTCCAGCCCCCCTGCCACCTTCCACCAGCCCAGGTTGCTCCAAGGCCCCTCCAACCTGCCCTTCAACCCCTCCAGGTTCTTGGGGCAACCTGGGCCAGGCTCCTCACCACCCTCACACCAAAGAGGTTCTGCCCCACATCTCAGCTCCATCTCCTCACTTTTGGTTTAAAACTCTTCCCCCTCCTCCTATGGCTCCACTCCCCAAACACCAGCCCTGGAGGGATCTCAAAGCCGGTGCTGAGGGACACGGGGCAGTGGTGGGTTGATGGTTGGTCTTGATGAACTTCGAGGTCCCCTCCAACCCAGGGAAGTGGTGGAATCGCCAGAGCATCACAGAACGTTTGGGGTTGGAAGGGACCTTCAAGACCATCCAGTTCCATCCCTTCTAGTGGAAGGGACATCTTCAATGAGACCAGGTTGCCCAAAGTCCCCTCCAACCTGCCCTTGAACCCCTCTAGGGATGGGGCAGCCACAGCTTCTCTGGGCAACCTGGGCCAGGCTCTCACCACCCTCAAAATAAGGAATTCCTTCCCAAAATCTAACCTCAATCTCTCCTTTTTCACCTTAAAACCCTCCCTCCTCATCCCATCACTCCCCTCCCTCATCAAGAGTCCCCCCCAGCTTTCCTGGAGCCCCTTGAGGGACTGGAAGGGGCTCCAAGGTCTCCCCAGAGCCTTCTCCAGGCTAAACCCCCCCAAATCTGAGCCTGAAGTGATGCTACACCAAATATTAACACTTCTGAGCCACAGAGACTTCTCTTCTGGGCTGCCCAGAGGACATCACCCCGGGCAGGAGAAGCTGTGGATTTGCTACGGACACACCAAGGTAAGGACTAATCAGGCTGGAGGACAAACGTGGAGGGAAGAGAAGGCCAAGAGCAGAGCAAGACTTTGTGTTTGCCCCTTAACGGGCTCCCAGGAGGTCAAGAACCTTCTTGGTTCCCTCCCCAAACCAAACCCCTTGGTTTCTTGGTTGACCCCTGAGCCCACCCCAGCCCCGACCGGCGCCGTTGGGAGCTTCACCTTCTGTACCACGTTCTCCTTCTGCAGTTGACTTTGCCTCAACTTCTTCAGCAGCACCAGCCTGGCCTCCTCCAGCCGGAGCTCATCCCGGAGCTGCTTGATCAGCTGCTGTCTCTCCTCTATGCTTTTACCCTACAGAGAGGCAAAAAAAAAGCAGGAAAATTTAATCTAAGCAAGAATTTGGACCATGGAGAAGGAAAAGGGTGAGATGGTTAAGCCCAGAGGTCACCAAATCCCTCCCAAATCCCCTCAGCTCCCCAAATCCTTCCGAAAAGCAGGGAAGTGGTTGAGTCATCATCCCTGGAGGTATTTAAAAGATGGGGAGATGTGGTGCTGAGGGACATGGTTTAGTGAAGTTTTTTGTCAATGTTGGGTCGACGGTTGGACTTGAAGATCTGAAAGGTCCCTTCCAACCCGGGCAATTCTATGGATCTATTCTATGAATCTATGAAATTCCCCCCAAAAATGGGCTCCCTCTGGAGTCAGGGAAAAGCCAAGAAACTTCTCACCTTAAACATTTCAAGATTTGCTGCTTTAAGTCTTTCCTCCATGCGGGAGCTGGAGCGGGGACTGGACGCCTCGTTATCGGAGAGGACAATTATATCCGGCGAAGGGGTTAATCGCCCCCTGTCCTGGTCACTGTGGAAGAGAAGGGAAAGGGGGGAAAAATAATTAATAATAAAACAACTGAGCCATGAGATTTGAGAAATAGACAGCAAATTTAGGAGAGGAATAAAACCCCAGCTCCGGAAAGGAGCTCGGCACCGCAGAGGTTTTGGGGCAGGAGCCAAAGCTGTGTGGTGTTGTTGATACACCAGAGGGATGGGATGTCATCCAAAAGGACCTGGCCAGGCTGGAGAGGTGGGCCCAGGTGAACCTCATGAGGTTCAACAAGAGCAAATGCAAGGTTCTGCACCTGGGC